GAAAAAATTTGAATTTCCCGCTTCGCCGAATATCATAAACCAGATTGGGCAACCTGCAAATCCCGGTTATAGACATATATACGCTAGGATTATGTAAACCGGACCGTGCGATAGTTCAGCCATACAGACAAAGGAAGCTCGACTAACCTGCACGTCATGAGTTTTCATCGCGTGTGAAATTTCGATCCGTCGGACGGCCATTTTCGCCCCCAAACCGTCCCAGGCTTTCATAACGCATTGTTACCACGCGGGAAAGTGCCGCGAAAGTCACGAGTCCAGAGCACCTCAGGAAATTTAGCAAATCGGCCAAAGACTCCGTTCCCATCGGTGCTCTTAATTCCAAGAACAGAGATACATTACAGCCTCGTTAAGATCCCAAGAATTTGCGTACGCAATGGAGAAAGTATTTTCGATGTCTCTCGCGGCACAGTGGCGCCGCGCTACGGCGTCAAGCGGAACCATAACCTCACTTCGACACGGTAAGAATGCACGGACGCGTCAATGTTTCATTTAATTAATAATTACACTTGACACGCTTAATAAAAGGCATCAGGTACGACGCGAAACTCGAGCTTGATGCTGATCTTGCAACAGAAACTGCTGACAACCGCGGGATCCCTTCTCGAGGATGCCGAAGACAGTTGTGACAGCTCCTACGTTTCTACGTACTCAGCGAACTCTTTGTGACGATTTTGCCAACCTCGGAGAACGAAGTCACTAAGAATAAAGTATAACGATACGTGCGTATATTCGAGAGGAGGATACGTCATATTTTTTCTTATTTAATTTACGAGACTTTTTTTTTTACATCTCTATACCGGAAACCATACAGAGGGATCCCCGAACGTCGGAGCACGTGCGCACGACAGTACCTGAAACCTTTTGCCACGAGAAAGCTGTTGCCAGCTGAAAAGCAAAAAGCCGAAAGCACGTGCTCTGGCGTTGAGGTAGAGATCCCCCTTTTCATTACCCAGGACTCAAAAGGATCCTTGGCTTGGGATTGGATTTATTATGCAAAGAAGATGCCGCCCGTTTCTTACCCCCTCGCCACCACCCACCAACCCCTTGTGTCTGTACAATACACAACTTCTTCTCCCCGTTGACGTACCGACTGACATATGTTCGCATAATGAATAACACATATGTATTATGGACATAGGTACTTATACGACGTCCATTGTGTCACGTGTTCCTACGACGAACAGTTGTCCAGTTATTTATATATAGAATCTATACACGTGATTACTAGTTATTATTTACGGTGACGTCATCGTGTCCACAGAGCCTTCTTTTTTCTCATTATTTAATTTTATTCATGGTTCGTTTCTATTAATTTGACAACAATTTTTTTTTAGGCTCTTTCACTCGTTGATTCCTGCAGCGTGGAAAATCGGGGTGACGTTTTTTTTTTTTCAATGGGTACAATGGATTTTTAAAAAAATGTTTTATTAATGGAGATTCCTGGCATTGTGACTATCCGTTTGTCTTGGATCCTGCATCGGGTGGATGCTTCGTTATTGATCTTTTGAATTATGTGTCATAATCACGTGTCACGGTATGTGGAATGTTGCACTTTAGAACGCCGCTAACGAATTAGCATAGAGAATGTATTTTTTTGAGAAATTCTTTTTGGCTTCAACAGCGTCCACGTTAATTTCGACAAGGTCGCGTCTGATCGGTCGAAATTGTAATGACGCCGGATACAGAGCTACTTTCTGGTGAAAAAAAAAAGATAGCTGTATTGCCGTGGGATAATGAATATACCCGGTGGTACATTATTCTCTCGTTACTTTAGACCTTGTTTATATGCGTGCGCGAGGTCACGTTCCGTGAACTACAAAAGTTATGGGATCACTCGTTTAATCTAATTATAACGTATCCTTAATCCGCGCGTTTCCGGATTAAAAGACCTTCTTCTTCTTCTCTGTGCCCGGAAGCTGCGATGAGAATAACACGGAGAAACGCATACGTAATTGCCGTAAAAAGATAATCCACGTCGCTGCGTGTTTCGTACGTAGAAAAGGAGACCTCTGTACTTGGGATCCGCACAATGCAGATTTGATATAACGTATCGATTATCGATTTCTTATCTGTGGCACGAGTGTGTGCTGCGTCTTGGATGAAGTTTTGTTTGGCCGATAAAAATAAATGTCACGCGTACCTTGTAAACCTCAGTGAATAAAATGACGATAGTTAAAGACAATAACCAGGACTCGTAGTTTTATTTTCGTATCGTTATTTATGATAGTGAGAAAAAAATGGGAAATGTAAACTCAAATGTCTAGTGTGTGACGGAGAGGGGGGGGG